AACGTCTTTTGTTTCGTTATGTAGCCGTGTTTATGCTGGATTATTGTGTGTACTGATATGCAATTCGTCTTCAAATAATCAACGCATCCGAGATTTCCAAATCAAAGCCCAACATTGTATAATCAATACCAATTAACGTTAATATAATGTGCCTCGTATAAAATCATGGCGAATGGCTTTTTAAAGAGTACTACTATTCATACTACATAATATCGCCTCACTGCAAATATATATTTGAAACAACGATCGCTCACTGTATTACGCATATATATACATCATATATATATGGTGTGTCTGTGGCTGTGTGTTGTTGTGTGTTATGTGTGTGTTGTGTTGCTGTCGGGCCCAAGTGTGTGTGGTGTGTGTTGTGTGTGTATACGTTTTTTATGAAAAGCGTAATACGTTTTTTAAGATTTCTCTACGAGAACGTCAACTATATAGTATCAGGATAGTTGGAATTTTGTTGTAAAAATGTCATCATTATTATATATTTATATAGACGTACATGTGCAGCGAATCTATATGTGAGAATTACACAACATTTCCTCTCTTAATTTGCATGTCTCTTGAGCTACGGATTGTTCTATCAAACGCATCCGCAAAAACAAACACGATTTGCGCACTAGCCACTGAACATCATGACTAAAATTGTTGTTTTTGACACAACTACCATCTCACTACGACACATCGCATAAGCTTGCGAGTTATAGCCTTCAGCCATATCGATGAACATAGTATATACTTTATACATATAATATATATATATTAATATAGTTATATATAAGTATATATATATATACTAATATATATGAGCGTTATCATGAACATTATCATAATTCTAAACATATTATGATTATTACATGTGTTCTTGCTATAGCTCTCGTTCTCCCTCCCTCTCCTCTCTCGCCCTCTCTGCTTCTCCCTCGCACATACACACGCACACACACACGCGCACGCACACACACACGCACACACACACACACACACACACACACACAAACACACGCACACACACACACACCATGACTCCACACACACAAACAACCCAACTCCTATGGCCTCGGGGCCTCATTCACATCGCTTGCTCCTATAGACGTACTCACTGCGGGGCCTGGATGCATCGATGTACTGCGGATGTGTTCGCAAATTAATTGACCTAGTGAACTTTTACTTACAAAGGTGAATTTTTGTTTAACAGGTGCACTTCTACACCTTTTTTTTTGCAACTACACAGTGGTGCATACGTATCTAATGAAAACTGATGAAAACTCATTGAGATGCGTCGGAGTTTACTTATTAATTTAAATAATAAAATGAATAAAATTAGATCAAAAATGAATATACACCGAATCAGTCGAATCGGTGCGTGGGCGGCGGCAACCGGACCTTCTTATACTTCTTTAGACTTCTTCCCTCGTTCATTAGACTCCTCCCCGCAGCAGCAGCAGTGTTGCTACTATCAGCTGTAATGGCGGCTACACCCCAACCAAACACCCGCGAGCGAGGGCGTAGCGAGAGACACAGACGAACGCAAACACGTTTACAGCGCCCTGCCTGCCTCGTCGATAACCATCAAGAGATCAGAACCTATTCGGACGCGCGCTTAAATTCGTCTGCTCGCGGGACGTTCACGTCAACAGTCGAGAGCAACTAGCGGACCGTACGGATCACCTACTGCACGCAAACTCACTCACTCACGCACGCACGCCCGCACGGACGTCAGGATGCGGTGTTATCTACTGGGACTGCTGTTTGTGGTTGCTATTACGACGGGTGAGTTGAACGATAGTGGAGAGTTGATTTTATTTCGCGAGACATAATTTAACGTTGTATTTTGTTTGTTGCGAGCTCACGCACGCACGCACGCACGCAATCACGCACGCACGCACGCACGGTACCTAGTTGTGTTTGAGTATAGTTGAGAGTTATAATAGTAAGTAAAGTAGAGTTGATAGTGGAGAGTAGATTATATTTCATGCGACGAACTCGTTGTATTTAGCTTGTCGCAAGCTCACGCACGCACGCACGCACGCACGCACGCACGCACGGTAACTAGTTGTGTTTAAG